GGGGGGGATCATCCCTTGGGAATGGGAGCAGGGCCTGGGGGGCTCCGGGAGAGGCGGGCGAAGGGATGAATCACAGCTCGGGGCTATTTATAACAGCACCAGATTGCTCAGCGAGTGCTTGGCCCGGGCGGCGCCTGGGGGGGGGCTCGGCAGGCACCGGCTGCTGGGGCTCAGCTTGGGGGGCCCGAGGGGGCCTCGGCAATTCCCTATGGATGCTGGGGGGTGGGGAGGGATGTGGTGTCACCGTGGTGCTGGAGAGGTTGGAAAGGCGGGGATGGATGGGGAGAAACAATGGTGAGTGCATGGATACGGGGTAAGGAGGTCCTGGAGCAGCATCTTCCTCTGCAAAGAGGATATGGGGTGGGAGAAAGGGATGGGGAAAGGCAGAGCTGGGCATGGGAGAGGATCTGGCGTCCCTGCCTGTCCCCATGGCCCCAAACCTGGTTTGGGGATAAGCAGGGGCCTTGGGGACACAAGGATCAGGCTGGGGATACAGGAATAGGTGATGACAGGGACACAGATGTGGTTTGCCCTTTGCTGTCACACACGGGGGGATCCAAAGGCTGTGGCTGCATCCCATGGGAAGAACCCAAGGAGGGAGGATGTGAGACCCTGCAGGGTCACCATCCCACCCCATCTGCCACCAGATATAGGCTTAGGGCAAGGAAATAACTGTTGTAATGGGGAGGGGGTCCCTACCTCAGACCCCAACTGGCTGCATCCTTCGCTCTTGAGCATCCCCATCCATTTGCCGGGATGCAGTGTGTGCCCATGGATAGGGATGGCTCCTGGGGGATGTGGGTACCAGGAAGGGATGTGGTGCTGTGGACACAGAGATCTGCACACTCAGCATCTCGGATGCTCTTAATCTGATTTGGGATTTTCCCAGCTCAGGAGTGAAATGGTCCAGACGGAGCGATGTCCAGCTCCATCCCGCAGGCGATCGCTCATGCCGGGGGCTAACGCACTAATCCACTTAGGGAACGAATTGGGATCATTTCCCTCGCGTTTCCCATTGGGAAAGGCAGGAGCTGAGCAATGAGGGTTCATGGGGAGACAGACGCCCCCGAGCTCCATTCAGTCATTCACTGGCAGCTCTTATGGCAAAGCTGGGCTGGAAGCTCAGCTGGGAGATGATTCATCTCCTCCAGGATCAGGGGCTGCTGATCCCATAGGGATGGATGCAGCAGGAGCCTGCTGCTGCCAGCACCCTCCCCACCTTTGGAGCCAGCACCCAAGGTGGGATCTGTCTGCGATGCAGATCTGCTCCCATCAGCTCAGCATCCTCAGGGACACCCAGCCCTGGTCCCCATTGCAAGGCAGGATGGGGCCCCGCATCCCTCTGGAAGGAGGATGCTCCCAGGCACTGGCTGCTCCGTGCCTCAGTTTCCCCCTGGATAAAGAGGATCCCAGTGGGTGGCAGATCCTGGATTCGAGCTCTTGCTGAGGCTAATTCCATTGCCTGGTGCCCAGGTCCCAGAGAAGGACCCCCTTTTCCAAGCGGGATGAGCATCCCAGTGGGTACCACAATGCATTGCACCCATCTCCTGCCCACTCCAGGGAGCTCTGACTGGTGGAAGCGTCATCCCATGGGGTAAAACCATCCCCATCCATCACCCTGGAGCATGAATCCCAAGACCTGGCACCCAGGGAGGTGAATGTGGGATCCCCACCTTCCCCACGGCAGGCGTGAGAGGAGCCTTTCTGGAGGGGAAGCCAGGATGGGGTTCCTTGATTCCATAAACATCCGGGGGGTGGTGATGGTGAGGAGGGGGATTTGTCCCAGAATTTGTCCCAGAATTCCACATCCAGAATGAGTCCTTCCATGAAAAAAACATGATTTTGCTGTGGGTGTATTCCCTCCGCTGGGAAAGATGCTTTTCCATCCCAGTGGGATCCCTTGGAGCTGGAGGAGGCTGGGATAAGTGTGTGGGGGGGTCCCCACTATTCCCTGGCTGGGTCTGGGATGCTGCTGCCGCTCTCCTAAGGGAAAAGGGAAAGAAAACCAGGTGGGAAATAAATAGGTGCCATTTTCCATAGGGAGAACTCCAGAGGTTTGGCTTTGCCGAGGGGGTCTGCGCCATGTGGGGCTGTGCTGTGCCATGGTGGTCCCATGGGACACCGGGGGTCAGTGTGGGACCATCACTTGGGGGTCAGGCACAGTGAGAGCAGTGTCCCCGTCCCCCCCAGGACAGAGCAGAGGTGACAGCAGCGCCAGGGTGGTCCTGTGGATGCTGGAGACAGGGATGGAGACTGGGACAGGGATGTGGGCAATGACAGGGATGGAGACTGGGATGGGGACAGAGAATGGGACAGGGATAGAGAATGGGACAGGACAGGGATGCAGCATCCCAGCTCCTGGAGCTGTCAGTGATTCCCAGCCCCATTCCACATCCACTGCCCCCCTGGTTCTGGATGGGTCCAGGAGCTGCTGCTTGCACCCAGCCTTGGATCTCACCCCAAATCTCTCTGAGCGCCCATCTCCGGGCATCCCACTTCCAGGGGGTGTTATCCTACGGAGCAGATCCCGGGATGAGGGTGCGAGCTCTGCTCTGACAGCGGGAAGATGCTTCCCCCGCACCAGGGAAGCTGTTACCACTCCCTGCCCTCCTGGGAAGCGCTGAGATTGCTTTGCCTCCAGGGAAGTGGGATGCGGAGCAGGAACAGGCAGCAGCAGTAGCTTGACCCCATGGGATAGGTCCCGGGCTGTGATGAGCACAGTGAGTCCCAGTGACATCCCAGTGACAGGATGGGGTGACATCTCCCCGCCAGGCACTGGAGCATCCCACTGTACCAGGGAGGGGTGCCCATCACTGATCCCAGCAAGTGTCCATGGAGCTGGGGATGGATCTGGAGAGCCCCCCCCCCCAATCCCATATCTCCCAATTGAACCCCCAAACTGGGATGGTGCCTGAATGGGGGTCATGGTGTTGACCAAGTGTGGTACCCAAAGGGATAGAGAAGAATCTCAGCTCATGGAAGTGCCTGGATTTGGGAAGCTGATTACATCCTTAATTAGCTCCTTGCAGGGGTGCAGATGGAATTCCAGTGCCTCTGGCCCTTGGGGATGCTCCCTGCCTGGTTTCGGGGTGCAGGGGGATGGATGCTGTGCCCGCATCCCACTGGGGAGGAAGGATGTAGTGGGTGCGTGCTGCATCCCGGTAGAGCAGGGACCCCCTCCACATCTGGAGGAGGAACTTGGGGGGATCATGGAATGGTTTGGGATGAAGGGACCTTAAAGCTCCCCCAGCCCCAACCCCTGCCACAGGCAGGGACCCCTTCCATAGAGCAGCTTGCTCCAAGCCCCTGTGTCCAACCTGGCCTTGAGCACTGCCAGGGATGGGAATCCCAAAGTCCTTCTCTTCAGGCTGCTCCATCCTTTCCCCCCCAGCCTGTGTTTGTGCTGGGATTGCCTCAACCTTGCCCTTGGCATGGGGATACAGGGATCAGCCTGGCCTGAGGCCATCAGGATTCCCTGTTTATGGCAATAAATGGGATGTGTCCTGGTGGAGGCTCCGGCTGCGCGCTGAATCCCTGCTCAGCAATGAACAGCAAAGGGCTGCAGAGCCCCAGACATGGGTCCACAGCATCCACAGGGATGGGCAGCATGGGATAGCTGCAGGATGGAGGAGCTGGGATGGAAGCAGGATGAGTGGGATGAATGGGATGAGCGGGACAAGCGGGATGAGCGAGACGAGCAGGATGAGCGGGATGAGTGGGATAAATGGGGTGGATGAGTGGGATGAGCAGGAGAAACGGGACAAGCAGCACAAGTGGGATGAGCAGGACTAGTGGGATAAGTGGGATGAGTAGGACCAGTGGGACAAGCAGGGTGAGTGGGATGAGTGGGGTGAGCAGGAAGAATGGGACAAGCAGGACTAGCGGGATGAGGGGGATGAGCAATTGAGTGGGATGAGCGGGATGAGCGGGATGAGTGGGATGAGTGGGATGAGCGGGATGCCCTTCCTGAGCCCCCCCCGCCCCATGCATCAAACCCTCCCGCCTGCTCCCGCTGCTCTCCTCATCTCAGGAATGGCTTTTTTTAGCTCCCTCAGCTTCCCCCCCCCCCCGCTCCGGGGTGGGACCCGGATTCCCGGCCCTATTAAAGCATCACCCGCATCCAGCTGCATCTGTCCGTCCCTGTGCCGAGGATGCCGCTGGCATTTGATGCTCCCGGATACGCCGGGGGCGCGCTCGGGATCTGCTCCGTGTTCCTGCTGCTGAGAGCAGGGATGCTGAGCCACCACGGAGGGACAGAGGGACGTGGGGATGGACCCACACCAAGGCCTGGCTGTATTCTACAGTGCATGTGTCTCCAGTGTGAGTAGGTGACTGGAGATGCGGCCCTGTTGGAATAACATCCGGTGTCCGAGGCTTCGGATGGAAGATCCCGCCTGGATCCGGCCTCATATCCAAGGATGCTCCCGGGATGGTCCCAGCCAGGGTGCCGGGGGTGCAGGGATGGGGACGGGGTCTGGAGGGTGCCACTGGGGCTCGGATGGAGCCTGGAGCCGCCGGAAAACAGGGATTGAAGGAAGAGCAAATCCTATGGACCAGAGCTTGGAGCTTCCACCTATTCCTGTAGCAGCACTGTCCTTGTCCTGGTGTTCCAGACAAGGGGTGGAGGCAGGAATAGAGCCCGCAGTGACATGGCCATTGCCATGCCTCCTGTGTCCATTAGTGTGGCTTTAGGGCCACCACCCCACAGAGCCAGCTCCTGGGGTCACCTCCTGCCACCCCCTGTCTCCATCCCAATGCCCCGTCCATGTCCTCCTCCACTTTTGGGAACCCCGAATCTCCTTCCCGTGTTGGACATTGCCTCAAACCAGACCTTTTCACCCCAGAATGGAGCTGGTTGAGCTGGACACCCTCTGGGTGAAGGAGGTTCTGTGCCATGGGGGGTTCCTGGGGACCGATGGGAGGAGCCGGTTCCTGGTGCCCATCCCCGTGGCCTCAGGCCCCATTAACCCCCCTGTCTCCGTGCTCTGCTCTCTCCCCAGGACGCGCTGCTGAGCCTGGGGGCTGCGATCGATGCCTCAGGCCTGAGGGACTCCCTCCGCCATGCGCTGGTCTCGCTGCTGCCTGCAGTGGTAGGTGGGGGATTCTCCGCTGGCTCGTACTGAGGTTGAGCTCCATACGGGGTGTCCTCCCCAGCCCACCTCAGTGGCCTCCCCGCAGACAGAGCCCTGGTTGCTGTGTTAGGTGTAAGCTGGCTCTTGGGGTCACCTTCCTGAGTACCACACCCTGGTCCTCACCGGCCACCTCTCCATAGAGCTCCGAGTCCCTCAGGAGATGCAGGGTCCCTAATGACTTTGTGGCACCAGTGCTGGTGACCCTGGTGCTGGTGATGGCCTTGGGATGCTGCTGGTGGCCCTGGTGATGGCCTTGGGATGCTGCTGGTGACCCTGGTGCTGGTGATGACCTTGGGATGGTGCAGGTGGCCCTGGTGCTGGTGATGGCTTTGGGATGCTGCTGGTGGCCCTGGTGCTGATGATGGCTTTGGGATGCTGCTGGTGGCCCTGGTGCTGATGATGGCTTTGGGATGGTGCTGGTGGCCCTGGTGCTGGTGATGACCTTGGGATGCTGCTGGT